AATATGATTAATGTTTAATTCTATTTTAATCTTTGTATATTTTTGGATTGAGATACTTTTAATGCAAGCCACTTTGAGTCTCTTTTGTGGAGACAAAAACTGGGGTATAAATAAACATAATAAACATAATAAACATAATAAACATAATAATAATAATAATAATAATAATAATAATAATAATGTTTAAATACAATAATAAAAATCCCGTGAATGTGTATCTTTTTAAGAAACCCTTTGGACAATAACCTTCTCTTCTCCAGAAATCCCAACTAGGCCAATGGTCAAGCCGATGGCGAGATCCTAGAAAATGTAGTCCAAACAGGACTTCTTCAAACCCTGTAAACTTATTTACCCACCCCTTTAAGTTGCTGACATTTCAGAAGACACTGCCCACACATTCTCCAGCAGAGTGTTGCAACCACACCAGCTGGCAACTCCTTTTGAGATTTTACTTTACTTTCTATTGAAAGATGCCAAATTCTGTTCTCATTAATTTGTACTTGGCCTTTGAAAAATAGTAGCATACAATATATATATGGCATTGCCACATGTGCCCCTCTCGTTGGAGAACAACAAAGCATAACTCCTCTCTCTTGACAAGCTACTAGCTCTTCTCACTCCCACGTGGAAGGCATTTGAGCTGAAATTCAGCTCAAATTCCCCTTAAATGCTATATAGTTCCCTCCATAAAGAAGCTGGACCTTTGCTTGGCAATGAGTGAGCTCCATTGTTGCTCATGGACAATGAGTTCGACATGGTACCATGCAACACTGGACATTTACAATCCCTGCAGTTTGTAACATGGCAATTGTTCTGGACCTGGGAGGCGGAAGAGCTATCAGAATAAAATACTTCATGTGTCAGTTCTCTCCTGCTGCATATCTGGTAGTATATGAAGCAAAGTGAGACAGCAGACTTACTTATTGGCAGGCATTTCTGGGACTTTAGGAAGTATACAAGCACCACACATAAACTTTAGATACCTGCCAAAAAGCACCTGACATTTTCTGGATGGGAGTGCTACCCAGTTAAGGTTAAGGTTTCCCTTGACATTAAGTCTAGTTGTGTCCGACTCTGGAGGGTGGTGCTCATTTCCATTTCTAGGCCAAAGAGCCGGTGTTGACCATAGACACCTCCAAGGTTATGAGGTCAGCATGACTGCATGGAGCACCGTTACCTCCCCATCAGAGTGGTACCTATTGATCTACTCACATGTGCATGTTTTCAAACTGTTAGGTTGGCAGAATCTGGGGCTAATGATGGGAGCTCACCTGCTCCCTGGATTTGAACCACCAATCTTTCAGACAGCAAGTTCAGCAGCTCAGCAGTTTAACCTGCTGCACCACCAGGGGGGCCTACCCAACTGGCAATGAAAAGAATGGAGTGCTAAATCTCACTCCATGAGGTTGTCCCAAGGAGAGATGGGAGGGCAGGGCTATGAAACCAGCTCTGCGGAACGATCTGCTCCATCCATTCCTGGAATCCACTTTGACTCAACTGGCAATCTGAAGAATTGCCTTTGTATCTGTAATAACTGATACCATTGTCTGAACATTCCTCTTTCCTCCTACTTTAGTGTAATATGTTTTAGATTAGGCATGGGCAAACTTTGGCCCTCCAGGTGTTTTTGACTTCAACTCCCACAATTCCTAACAACCAGTAGGCTGTTAGAAAATTGTGGGAGTTGAAGTCCAAAACACTTGGAGGGCCAGTTTGCTAGTGCTTGTTTTCAATCAATACTACTCAAAGTGGTGAACTGTGGATTGATGCCAGCTTCTGAGACATCTGCTGCCAATCCCTAAAGAGCTTTGAGGGGGGAAAATGTAGCCAAAAGTTGCCAGTTCCTCACTTCTGATGGTTTTACTGTTTTAGATTTTGTGTGTGTGTGTGTGTCAGGAGCAACTTGAGAAACGGCAAGGCACTTCTGGTGTGAGAGAATTGGCCATCTGCAAGGACGTTGCCCAGGGGATGCCCAGATGTTTTGATGTTTTACCATCCTTGTGGGAGGCTTCTTTCACGTCCCTGCATGGGGAGCTGGAGCTGACAGAGGGAGCTCATCCACACTCTCTCAGAATTTGAACTTCTGACCTGTCAGGCTTCAGTCCTGCCAGCACAAGGGTTTAACCCTAGGCACCACCAGGGGCTTTATAAACCTAAACCTGATTATAAACCTGGAGTGGAGCCTTCAATTGTACAAAACCAGAGCATTCTGGACAGATTCTTTGCATAAGAACATTTTCTGTTTAGTTCTTGTGGGTTTTTTCGGGCTATATGGCCATGTTCTAGAGGCATTTCTCCTGACGTTTCGCCTGCATCTATGGCAAGCTTCCTCAGAGGTCTGCTGGAGCTGGGAAAAAAGGGGTTTATATATCTGTGGAATGACCAGGGTGAGACAAAAGGCTTTTGTAAGTTGGGCTAGGTGTGAATCTTTTCAACTGACCACCTTGATTAGCATATAATGGGCTGACAGTGCCTGGAGCAAACTCTTCTTGAAAGGTGATTAGATGTCCTTGTTTGTTTCCTCTCTGTTGTGCTGTTGTAATTTTAGAATTTTTTAATACTGGTTGCCAGATTTTGTTCATTTTCATGGTTTCTTCCTTTCTGTTGAAATTGTCCACATGTTTGTGGATTTCAATGGCTTCTCTGTGTAGTCTGACATGGTGGTTGTTGAGTGGTCCAGCATTTCTGTGTTCTCAAATAATATGCTGTGTCCAGGCTGGTTCCTCAGGTGCTCTGCTATGGCTGATCTTTCTGGTTGGAGTAGTCTGCAGTGCCTTTCATGTTCCTGGATTCTTGTTTGGGCGCTGCGTTTGGTGGTCCCTATGTAGACTTGTCCACAGCTGCATGGTATACGGTAGACTCCTGCAGAGGTGAGAGGATCCCTCTTGTCCTTTGCTGAACGTAGCATTTGTTGGATTTTCTTGGTGTGTTTGTAGATTGTTTGTATGTTGTGTTTCCTCATCAGCTTCCCTATGCGGTCAGTGGTTCCCTTGATGTATGGCAGGAACACTTTTCCTCTGGGTGGATCTTCATCTTTACTCTCGTGGCTTGTTTTTGGTCTTGCAGCTCTTCTGATGTCTGAGGTGGAGTATTTTCTGTTTATTTTCCCTTTCTCTTTCTAAATTTCTAGAAACTCTTCCTTCATATTTGTCTACTATAGAAGAAGAGAAAGCTGAGAGGAGAGATGATAGTCATGTATAAATATGTGAGGGGAAGTCATAGGGAGGAGGGAGCTGGCTTGTTTTCTGCTGCCTTGGAGACTAGGACGCAATGGAACAATGGCTTCAAACTACAAGAAAGGAGATTCCATCTGAACATAGGAAGAACTTCCTGACTGTGAGAGCTGTTCAGCAGTGGAACTCTCTGCCCCGCAGTGTGGTGGAGGCTCCTTCTTTGGAGGCTTTTAAACAGCGGCTGGATGGCCATCTGTCGGGGATGCACTGAATGATGTTTTCATTCTTCTTGGCCGGGGGTTGGACTGGATGGCACATGAGGTCTCTTCCAACTCTATGATTCTATGAGATACAGGGGTTTTAACTACACCAAGCACAGATTTCACCAGTGAATTTTTGTGGAGCTGCCTCACAAATGGGAATCACACATTCCAACTATTTCAAAAGATATATATTTGGGCTCTTTTCCTTTGTGCAGCCATCCACATTTTATTGGTGTCATTTGCATTGTTTGTTTATCATACTTCAGTATGTATGTTTTGCTAGCCTAAGGACATTCACTCTTTCCAGTTTCTCTCATTTGGAATTTAGAAGTACTAGTGTAAGCAACCAATAAGGTTGTCTTCAAGCCTTTGTGCTTCTCTGAAGCTTGTGATTCCGTTTTAGTTCACAGGAGAGGATACAGTTATCTAACCAGTCTATCTGCTTTTCTAAATATATGAGGAAGCAGTCACATTGAATGGGAGGCAAAACACTTGACTATGATGAGATCACATTGCAGTGAGATTTAGAGTTGCATGATATCCCCTTTTCCCCATTTTTGTGGGAAAGGAGAAAAAATAAGATTCTGGGTGTGTTTCTACACAATCACTGTTTCCTGTTTCACCAGAATACAAGAAATTGTGGTTTGTACAAACTGTAGTTAGTAAGAAACTACAGTGCTGAGCCTGGATCCAATCTCAATCTACACACTGAACTTCTCTTACGCAAAATTCCAAAGTGCTCCAAAATTAAAAATGGTCCACATGAGTGGTTGAAACAAGGAGACCTTTGCTTTCTGATGGTAAATAAATTTTGAACCATCAGAAAACAAAGTATCAAAAATATAATATATAAAATTACCTTCAGGCTATGTGTTCAAGGTGCATATGAAACATATATGAATTTTAGACTTGGGCCTCATTTCCAAAGTTAGGTAAGAGGTAAAGGTAAAGGTTATAGTTTAGTATCGCTCACACCGCTCCCCAGATTTGAACCTGCGAGCTTTCAGTTAGCAAATTCAGCAGCTCAGCGGTTTAACCCACTGCTTCACAAGGCACCTCTAAGATTATCCACATATTATCTATGCAAATACTGATATTCCAAAATAAAAAAAATCCACCCCAAATCCGACATACTTCTGGTTCCAAGCATTGTGGACAATGAATAAGTAAAGGTTAAGGTTTTCTCTTGACATTACGTCTAGTCGTGTCTGACTCTGGGTGGTGGTGCTCATCTCAATTTCTAAGCCAAAGAGACGGCATTGTCCATAGACACCTCCAAGGTCATGTGGCCGGCATGACTACATGGAGCGTTGTTACCTTCCCGCCGGAGTGGTACCTATTGATCTACTCACATTTGCATGTTTTTGAACTGCTAGGTTGGCAGAAGCTGGGCCTAACAGCGGGAGCTCACCCTGCTCCCCGAATTCAAATAGCCAACCTGTCACATTCCTTCAAATCACCTCAGTTTGTTGCATCTTTAACTGAGAAGCTCACTGGATCTGAACAAAGCAATCCACAGGACATGCCCATTTGTTACTTGAAAGACCAAACTTAAAAAGAGTCCTGAGAGGTATAAATTTTATTGATTTATATCCGATCAGCATGTTATGATATGGTCACACCTGCTCATACAGCTGACATTCTTATAGCCAAAAGAGGGAATTTTTTTTCCTTTTAAAAATACATTTTTCCCAGCAGGAAGAAACTTTACAAACAAACATTGTTTATATTAGGAATTAAAAACAATGGCTTTTATCAAATATGTGCAGAACAGGGTTGGTCAGCAGTGGATCCCTTAGCATTTTAAACGTCAGCGTTCAGGTTTTCCCCCACCCTTTAGAAAAAAACATCTTTGGAACAAAAACCCCACTTTAATTGTGAGCACAAAAAACTCCCACAAATCCAAACCCAAACAAAATCCAGAAGAGAAATGAAGAGGTAGACATTAACCAACACACAGTTCTTGGGGCTGTTCCAGGTGCATCCGTCAGTTCCTAAGAGTACCAATAGTTTCTGTTTATCTATTTAGAGTCCCTTTGACTACGGTCCAGATGATGGGTGGCTCTATGTAAGCACCTTGAGAGGGTTCAGGGGCATCACCAGACTTGTGGCCTGGAAGGCCTCACCCTCAGGTGGCATTTCTGGGGATATTCATGGTCACTTGTTCACGGAACAGCTGTCAGTTTGCAGTATCATGGCAGCTCAAAATAAAAAGCCACACCACTGAGCAGCCATATTAGAAATGCCAAAACAGTACCTCCACACAAGTCTTGCGAGGTCACAAAAACACAACGACTGCTAATGGAGTGGCCGTTAGTCTGAACAAGGTCTTAGTGTCTCATTGGAACATCAAATGAATGTCACCTGTGGCAAACGCTTTCAAACAAAAAGTTTCATTATTTTGGAGGCATTGTTTAAGTTACAACAAATCAAAAGAAAGAAAACAGCATCCACTTGCTACATCAAAAGCTTTTGTAGTAATCTGTATCCTTAAGTATTACTGTAGTTTTCATAACCCTAGATTGGTCTCTACATCTCTGCAAAAATATTTGTAGAGATGTTACAGCAACTTTGCATTAAAAGAGAAAGCAATCCAGTCCCTTCTTGCACAGAAAGATGAGTCTTGTCGTTAGGCTTCGCCAACCAAGTGCCCTCCAGAGGTTTTGAACAATAGCCTTAGCCTACACAGCAAAGGTCAGGAATGATGTGGTCCCAAATATCTGGAAAGCACCAGGTGGGAGAAGGCAGCTCTTTGTGATTCCTGAGAGCCATAAATGGAACTACTGTATTTCACCGAATGTAAGGTGTACCCCTTAAATGACGGTAAAAGTGTGCCTTAGAACTGGTGAAATGAGATATTTATAACCAAATCATATATTTATCCAATTAACACAAGGAAAAGCAGTCAATCTGATATTTTATCATATGCAAAAAACGGGCACAATTCTGTCATTCCCTATCAAACATTCTTTAACAATTACAACATGAAGCCCAAAGGATTGTCACAATGGATCAAACCTGCTAATGGTGCCATTTATTTGTCTGTGCTGAGGAAAGCATTTTTGAAATATGTATTTGTACTGAGATTTTTTTTAATGTCTGTTAACTGTTTATGGGAAGGGAATCTAAGAAAGACATAAACTTGATTGCAAATCCAAATAGGACCAATCCTTGAACAGAACCATCCATTTTCATTCTGATCATGGCATGAAACAAAAGATGTGGAATTGAAAAGGGAGGAAAAGAACAGCTACAGAATCATACAATAGCAATGAAAATAATTCACAACCAAAATGATGGTTTCTCTCTCAACTTCATCATGCGAATAAATGCAGTTTCATACCACATCTCCACCAAATTGCAAGACATTACAATTACTATATTTTAGCAGGACACTCCTTTATCACACCTTGGTGTGGTTGAAAATGAAAACCATGATTAATCACGGAGCATCTCTCTTGAGTATCTTTTCTTTCATATTCCATAACATTTCATGGACTTTGATTGGAATAATGTGCAATATTTTGTCTAGAGGTAAGTTGCAAATTCTGTTTGAATCCACATGCTCATTCGTTGTAATCATGCTTATTCATTATAATCATGTATTTCTGCTCACAGATGGAGTGAGCCACCGCACTGAACAATTAAGGAGGAAATGGGCAACACTGGGCCACAAACATTAAATGGGATGCTGTTCAGTCCAAAAAGAAACAAGAACAGAATGGCAACACAATACTGTGGCTGGTGGATTATGAATCCTACTTCCCACATTTGCATAATATTATTAGACTGGCCCAGGTCAACCTATATTTTGATAATAGTGAAGAGCCACCACAGATAGGCTGTATGTTATCTTAAAAATTCAACATTTTTTCATGTAGGTATTCATATTGTACTGAGAGCTAATGAACACATATAACTTTGACAACCAGCTTTAATCCTCCTTTAATGCTTGAAATTTTGTATTTTTAAGCAATACCAAATCATTCCATATTTTATGTGTACTTTTACCATTATAGTGCTTTGTCACCAAACTACTTTAATGTACAAAGCTGTTAGGAGTCTGAGCTACCCCAGTAGAAATGAATGGGAAAGTGAAGCTACTAAACACTTAAGCTCACTATGATCCCTTCTCAAAAGAGAATACAGAAGCAGTCTAGCACATTCTCCGCAGAAGGTACAGCTTTCACTTTTGCAGAATTGATTATTTGCAGATTTCATTAATATGCTCTGTCTCAGAATCTCTAGGTCCTCTAGTGAAATACTTATCTATGCATTTGTAGGTCCTGCAAAAGTTGACTATAGACTTCCACTGGAGGACCTAGAGTTTCCTACAGAGTTGTCATTTGAATGTATTAAAAGTAACAAATGGGTTTTTCTTAATAAACTTGGAGCCCATTTGAAATAATTTCCACCTATGACTTTAAAGCAATGGTTCCCAACCTTTTTTTGACCACAGACCACTTGACCATGGACTACTTTGACCAGGGCTCACTCTCCAACATTAGTACCAAAAGGGTTACGAATCAGGTTTTGGTTAACTTTAGATTTAGTTTGGTTATCTGGGGTGCTGACTCGGAAAATGGCATTGGACAGACCACATCAGTTCTAGTTTCTGGTACAGAACATATGCCATCCAGTAGTTGCCATCTGCTTGCCCACAGTAAACCATATTTAATAATCTAGAGCTGATGTGGTAGTATTAATCTTTCTTGGCTAGTCAGCCTTTTCCCTCCTGGCATCCCTGTTGCCATGGAACTATAAGAGGGTTTTGCGAGACCAGTTGCTCTCTTTGCTGCTTGGTTTTGAGGCAACGATGAAGTAATGGTGAGGCCGTGGACCATATTTTCGTTCTTGGGGACCACTGGTGGTCCATAGACCACAGGTTGGGAAACACTGCTTTAATGGGTCTACTGGAACATAACAGCAGTTTAAAATTGTAAAAAAACAAAACAAAGGGATAAGTTCCCCGATTATTATTTTTTATTTCTGATGGATTTCAAAGGACTAAATACCTTGAAGAATACAAAACCTATGGCTCTATAAAGGATGACTTACTCTTGTAGTGCAAAATCCTTACTAATAGTACAAACTGTTAATGTTACAAGGAAACCTGCAGAAAAACAGATGGTCAGAACAAGAAGGGGGGGGGGGGGAGGAAGCGGATTTGTGTGAATGATGTGCATTAATTGAATGGTATGAAGTCTAAACTAAATACCAGGGTCTTGTTTGTTAATGCTCTAAAAAAACCACTGTACTGTATTTGCTAAAATGCTATTTATTGGGTATCTTATTTTCTTCGTATAATGTTCTTGATAGGAAGTCAGAATGCAGATTGTGACAAAATGAGCTGCACGACTAGTTTGTCACTACTAACCATTGTAAAAGGATACCCAATATCAGGTATCCAAGGGCCAATACTGACTCTACAGGTCTGAAATTGATATTACTTAAAATGCTTCTTTGTCTTCATATGATTATGTAGCTGGAAAGGACTTGGGTGTTAATCTTCTCCAAGGGTTTGCTCAAAAAAGCATCTACAATGTAGGGTGTTACCTACCATATTCCATCTCCAGTGAAGACAAGTCTACTCACCCCCACCCCACCCCCAAGGCAATATTTTCTCGTCCTTGGTAAGTTTTTCCTAATAATCTATATTGGAAATGGACAGTGCAAAATAGTCCTGTCCTGTGGAACAACATAGCAGTCCTATCTGCATCAATGTTGCATCTGTGGAGTTATCTGCATTAGCCCCACAGATATTTGAAGACTGTTGGTTGACCCAAGAATTCATGTGCAGATTTTCCATAATGACTCTGTATAAATCAAGAAATGCTCATGGTGTAAAGTAAGGATGACAAAGGTGATACCAAGTTAATATCAACTCACAAAAGTTCTGGTTGCGTCAAGACCTAGATGAACACGCTGCATAGTTAGAGGTACACATTCAATTAATTAAGAGAACACTGAAAGGATTAATTTATAATTAGTTGTGTTTCTAAGATTGCATTTTTGCTGATGAATTTAGTAGGAATACTGCATAATAAGTACATAAATTTGAAATCACAACTGAAGTTGAAAACAAATAAGTGCTTTTATTTAAGAGTTCCTAAAAACACTATCTTCTCATGGTTGCTGTGAGTTTTCTGGGCTATATGGCTATGTTCCAGAGGCATTCTACTGATATTAATGCCCACATCTATGGCAGGCAACCTCCGAGGATGCTTGCCATAGATGTGGTTGAATCATCAGGAGAGAATGCCTCTGGAACATGGTCATACAGCTTGGAAAACTCACAGCAACCAAGTGATTCTGGCCAAGAAAGCCTTTGACAACACGGTATCTTCACAATTTTTCCTGATTCAAACATACAGAAGACACTGTGACTGAACATTTTTTCACATTTCCCAGGGCAGATATGAGAGGGAAAAATCCATCTAATGTAATGTACATCCAAACACACTGTTTGGAATTGGGTCGAACTGAAATTAATGGGACATAACCTTATACAATCCACAAAAGGTCTGTAAATCACCGCCAGTCCCTAGAAATTGAGATTTCTGCCACGTGAACAGAAACAAATTGAAATACGTGGTCCAGTTAAATTAAGTCTTATGGTAGTTCACTGCTAATTCATAAGAAAGCAAATCAATATTTACAACATTGTCTTGGACATCTTCAGGGGACTGGAGGAATATTCTTGTTATTATTTGTTAAGATGGATTCTATTTTTATGTTAGTTTTTAGCTGTGTGCCAAAAAAACAGGTTTTGAAATCTGCATTAATGCTGCACTTTCTGCTCTATAATTGTAGTGATATAATACAAATGAAATGTAACTGCAAATCATCTAGAATCAATTAGAGATATTATCATCTACATGGACATTTGTTTTACGTTTAAAAATAGTATTTGACACATTTAATTTTTGTGTACATAATACAGGAAAATGCATCTATTCCCCCATCCCTCTTTCCCAAAGAGGAAACCAAAAGGAAAAAGGTATACTGTTTGTGGTTTTATATTTTTATTTTGTATACTACTCACCAAAACTGGTTCTCATGTGATTTGGAAAAAAAAACCCAGGAGAATATAGGTCTCAAACTCAGCACAGACAACTACTGTTGGCTTGGCTCTTAGAAAAAAATTTACAGTTCATAAACAGCAACATTCTGTAATTGAAATGTAGTCTACAGGTCTGTATGTGTAAATTAGAAAACTGTTTTCAAGGAATGTTTTTAATAGATATCTTATGTAGCCATAGAGACATGATGCAAAACATTCCAAGAGTGATAAATAACAAACACAGAAACCTTTCCTTCAAAACCAATAGAAAACTGTTAACATACTTCAAATTCTGATTTAATGCCAGTCTGCCTCTTAAATTCCCTTTCTATGGCAGTGACATTTTGCAGTAAGATGACAGATTTAATAATGCCCTTCATGGTTCAGAGAATTTTTTACAATACCTCTGGATGGTAAAGCAAAAATCTTCCTATTTGTTTTATCCAATGACTAGATACACTGTTCTGTGACTATCCTAACTTCCTCGTATTTTTCATATAAAGCAAAACATTGAGGTTCTTGGAATTTTGTGTACACAAACTCTCTCACAGATGTTTTGAGTGCTATTGTGTCAAGTGGAAATAAAGGCCTTTAAGAAGTTTTAACAAGAAAATAGATCAACTTGGCGAGACTGTGGCAACTCAATACATTTTAGTGCTGGAAATCCACAGACCTTTCTGAACAAACAGTTCTCAAGAAGCAAATCTGTTAAGAACAGCACTGACACTTCGTTCAAGCTAAGCTCCTTTTCACGTTGTATTGCATTTTCAAAAGTGCATTTTGCAAAACAAAACAAAACAAAAAACCCCAGAGATACTTATAAGTTTGGGAAATGCATTCTAAAACCAAAATAGGAAGCAGATTGAGAGATGGGCCATTTTTAAATACTCTTACAAGAGGCCTACAGACTGAAAATTTGGTAAGAATAATTGGGTCTATGAGGTATAGACAAATCTTTCAATACTTCATGACACCATAATGCCTTCTTGCAGAATAGTTTTCCACTTCTAGGTTTCCAATACAAGATCTCACTGAGATTTTTTTTAAATGTCTCTACTAAACAGGTTACATGGGGCAGTCACGATACCATAACCAAGTTTGCAGAGTACATTAAACAGATCCAGCATGATTAATTACAATACAACTCAAGTTTGTGTAGCTGAGGGATCTCTACTACAAGACTTGCAGTACAGACTACTGGAGAAAAAGTTGCTGAAGATTCCAAGGTTTAACTACAAGGCTGAATACTACCTGTGGTGAAAGCATTCTTGCTGCAGATGTTCACCGGTGGTGGCTGTATACTTGTGTCTCCTTTTCAAATTCTGAATCCGCTGACGTAAACGTATGGGGAGACACACCTTTAAAAAATATCGAGTTTGTAAAATACATCATCAGGTCTCTATATTACTGATCCTCTCTTCTAGTGGCGTTTAAAACCCTTCAAAATGAGAAAATGTCCATCCAGCATGTTCCTTTCTCCTGGCATATTCACATTTGCGCACATAACACGATGCACTCTGTAAAGTACCGCCTCTCTTGCTGTGTACTCAGGTCCCTCTCATTCACCTTTTAAAACAGGCATTGATAAAAATACTGAAGAATGCAGTACCACATACCACCTGACAAAAATGCAAAGGACTGTACAAGAACTAGCCACAAATTACTAAGGGTCATCTCCCGGGAAACAACTTCTGTCTGTCCCTGAATGGGAGGGAATGCTCCTGAAAGAGAATGGAAAAGTGTGTTAGTCAGGTGTCTGGGCAACCTTTGGTAGGTTTTGTCTGATCTGGTTGTATAAGAATACAGAGCAGATGTAGCACTAGCTCTTTATGTACTATACAAAATAATTCAAGCTATTTATCCATTGCATATAGCATGAGATTTCTTGGCATGAAGAAAATGTTTATTATGTTACTTTTGAAGAACAAATTGATTAAACCAATTGAGAGTCTCAAAATGAATTGTATTGTCAAAGGCAATAATTTAAAAGAATTGTAGCTGGAAAGAATGACAAAATAACACATGTATTTTAACCATAACCTAGGCAAATGAAGCATTTTAGCACTTTGGAGTCATGTTTGTTGGATAATTCATAGACAATTATACCTACAAGGTAGGCATTTTATGAAATTGTCAACTGAAGAGCTGCAAATAATGTTTTTGGAGTTTTAGCTACCAGCCATATACAAGTGGTGATTGTTGAAGATACAAAGCTACCACCTCTGTATTGGTTATATATATTTTTCTAGCAAGGATGGTTTCTAAACAAGGAGCAACTCAAACATTTCCCCCCATGTGAGTCTGCGGTTTATAGTATTGTGGAATGTATTTGTTTCTGAACCCAACAAATTGAAATATCCTGTGAGTATTGAGCATTTTATATGGCACAAAAGATTGGAATTCCTATTGGGATCAAAAAACGTACCAGATTTAGGCATTCAATGATTTTTTTAAAAAAATCTGATGGGATGAGGATTAATATACTTCAATGACCACTGGAGCATCTCCCCTCATTTCTGTGTTTCTATTTTGCACCAATCATTCTTTCAGTTAAAAAAAAATCTGGTCAGAAATATTGGTACATTTCCCTGCTCACACTTTTCTTTTTTTTGTTTTTGTGGATTGGTAACTGAGATGTTTTATTCAACTTTCAGTCCTTTAGATTTAAATTCAAAATGAAGAATCTGTGATAAGCATCTCTCAAATTCTTCTACGATTGTTCGGTTCATTCTGCTAACCAAACAGGAGAAGCTTCTTTTTCTGCCTCTTCAGCTTGTGTCAGGAGACAGGCACATGTTGCCTCCATCCCATGATATACATGTATTAGATTGCCTACTGTCTTTTCTGGAGTTTGACCATATTTCTAAGTCAGAAAATGATACAGCATCATTTTCTTCATGACTTTTAATCTCCATATTATTTGGCATATTGATTAGTGTTTTACGCTCTGTGCTTTCTTCATAATTTTTGCAGTCAACACATTTACAGATAGATGAACACATAATTTTAGTCTCAAAGCATTCACAGTCATTCTTTAAGCACCAAGAATGCTTACAATTACATCCTTTGTTATGTCTGGGTTTGATATCTCCACTTTTCAAATGATATGAAAGAAGATGCTCCATAGGCAAGCCTTGTAAAGATTCATATACAATCCATACCAGGTCACAATTTTATTTTCCACATTTCCTCCATGTTCTACCCCCATTGTTTTCTTCATAATACAGAGATATTTGGTCTATGTTTTTCTAAGTTTACCCCTGTACCCCTCACTTATAACAAATCCTATTGAACAGAACAATAAATTGACTGAGTCACTGAATCACAGAAATTGACAACATTGAGACTGACTGTTGGGGACGAAAGCCTCACCCAGTCCACTGATGTCAGGTTTTAAAACTGACCAGTGTGATGGGCATTAGTGGTGGCACACAGTCATGTTCTCTTGATGAACGGCAGCAAAAATAAACTTCAAAGATAACCAAAAACAAGGCAAAATTTAAATTATAAATCCACCATTTTGCATGGTTGCCAATTTAAACGTATTTAAAGCACATTTAAATCATATGTATGATGGCTAAAGGAACTTTCAGATTATAAGCTTATACTCACTCACTTGTGAATAACTCCCATTTAGCTTGTGAGGAGTAAGTGCTATATCAATTTCTGTCTGACTGTGCTTTGATAAAAGATTTCTGTAAGTTTTGATTATCCTAGTGTCAACATTCGAGATATTGTTAGTAGTCCTTGAGCTAGTTTACTGCTTGGTAGCTGCTTGATAGGAATAAGATAGCGTTGTTTTTAATATTTGATACACAGGATCTGGGGTAGATTAATTCATTTTAACTGGTGTGGTAAACACCAGGCTTTAATTATCTCTGTGTTCAAACCAGTGGAGAAAAAGGCATTTATTAAGTATTTGGAAAAAGGACAGCTGGAAGAGTTAACAAGTGTGGAGAGAACATTAGTTAGTGATGTAAGGTGGATAATTGACACCAGAGTGTGAAAGTATTCCTGCACTGTACTGCTATATATACTAAGCTAGTGAAGATCAGAAGATGGGAACAGATGGTTCCACCATGCCAGGTGGCTACCATGTAGATGATTTAACATTTTATTATTTCAAGCAGAGCTTAAAAATGAGGCAAACAATTCAAGCACAGCAGGAGGTACAAATGGAAGAGATGTGGTATCTGAGAAGGTCTATGTCCACTAGAATGACTGGCTGGGGTGGAACTTTAAGACATTTGGCTTATGAAAGAAGTTGCCTAGAGACTTCTCAATCCTTCACAAACTACCATGAAGTACCTTTAAAGTACCATGTAAAATATTTTCTTAATTAACAGTTATTATATAATAGCTCATATTAAAACCAATATTGGTGCTCATCTCATATTCAAATCCAGTAAGAGATTTCCGGTACTCCAAGGAAATTGAAATTGTCAGATTGGGATACCCTTAAGTGACTGTGGTAAGACACTTCATTGGCCAGGGTGGATAATGTAATCCATTTCATCCATCATTTCTAGCTATGGCTATCTATACCCGGCAGCAACTGCAGTCCAAAATCATATTTAGAACCATGCATCTCTGAGCCCTGTCACATGCACCAAAATATAAATACCTGAAAAGCACAAATATTGAAAGAAATAGGATCAGAGGAAGGATTTCTCCATAAAATGTACCAGATTGTGCAGTGAGTGGCAGATCTCAGGCCGGAAGTGCAAGTTCATAGCTCAGGTTGGATTTGTGGATTACTAAATCTTAAGAATACACGCTTGAAATGAGTGATTACATTTTTATCTGAAAGAAATTTTTACCTGTTTTATAAAAGTGTGACAAGAGATCCTCCTTTTCAATGAACCTTTGATATAACCAAACAGTGAGGGCTTCGGGTTCAAGAGGTACATCTTTAATTGGAAAAATCCTGTATTTTAAAGAGAATAGAACAGTAATTATGCCTATGATTCAAAACCTGTAGGTAAGGTAAAGGTTTCCCATGACATTAAGTCTAGTTGTGTCTGACTCTGGAAGGTGGCGCTTATCTCAATTTCTAAGCTGAAGAGCCAGCATTGTCCGTAGACGCCTCCAAAGTCATGTGGCCAGTATGACTGTATAAAGCGCCGTTACCGTCCCACCGTTACCGTCCTACCTATTGATCTACTCATATTTGCATGTTTTTGAACTGCTTGGTTGGCAGAAGTTGGGGCAAACAGCGGGAGCTCACCCCGCGCCCCAGATTCAAACTGCCAATCTTTCAATCAGCAAGTTCAGCAGCTCACCGATTTAACCCACTGTGCCACCAGGGGGCGCTTTTGAAACCTGGCATATAATAATAATAATAATAATTATTATTATTATTATTATTATTATTATTATTATTATTATATTATATAATCAATATATAGTTTTCTAAGATCTACAGAGACACTTGCTGGAACACCTCAGCAAGCAAGAGTCCAAAAGTGGCAGGCTCAAACCCAGAATCTCAACCAATGGCTGATACCAAATGAGAGACTCCCCCCTGGGCACACAGAAAACTGGGCGACTTGGAAGGCGCTGAACAGACTGCGCTATGGTACCATAAGATGCAGAGCCAACCTTAAGAAATGGGGCTACAAAGTGGAATCCACGATATGCGAGTGTGGAGAAAAGCAAACTACAGACCATCTGCTGCAAATCAACCTGAGCCCTGCTACATGCACAATGGAGGACCTTCTTATAGTAACACCAGAGGCACTCCAAGTGGCCAGGTACTGGTCAAAGGACATTTAATCAACTACCAAGCTTGCAAACTTTGTGTTTTGTTTGTTTAAAAATGCAATACAACTGTTTGGCTTGCTCCTGACACGATAAATAAATATTATTTATTCTATTTTTAGAAGAACTGTTTTAATTACACATGAGCACAAAGTCTTCATTGAGTCCTTATTTTTTCACCTCTTGTAAGAGTATTTCAGAGATACACGCTATATACCCTAATTATGCCACAACTCTCTTGATCATCTACCTTGATCTACTTCATAGCCTGATAATCTCTTGACACTTATCAAGAACTTGTAGAGAAAAACATTATACATTGTCTTTACACTACAACTACATACTCCAGTTAATATATTAAAACAATCATGATTAATCCCAATACTATCTTATTAACTTATTGCAAAGTTATGAACTGTGGTAGGTAACAACAGTTAAGAGATGATAAATGCAAAGCAATAAAATATACTGGTTATTAGAAACATGGAATGACCGACCAAAAATAAAGAAGGTACAGATAAGGACAAGCACAGCTGATAGTAGCAACCCCTCTTCCTTGTTACTAGGCATGTGTGTGTCCATTTATGCGCACTGCATCTTAAACTGAATTCCCACCATGGTTTCTCAGATGCACTTTTCTTATCTAAAAATATAGCACTAATCCACAGCATGAACACACTGTCATAGTATTAATTTCCTTCTCCCAATGAAAATACTTTTTGACATTTTCAGAATGTTACACTTGCGCCACAATGCACAGGATCATTCTTTTTGACTGGCTAGTTTTAAATGCACACATACATACATCTCCTTACACAATACCATAATATAATGACTAGAGGAGTGTAACTTTACTGTAGTCTAAAAAACAGCCGACTTCCTCAATACTAACCTTCCCACTCACTCTAATGACTTATTTTACTAATCCCACCAACACATTTCCTTTCATACCAGTGCTATCTTGTTTTTTCCAGGAACTTGCAATGTCATTTCAGCTTGAACAAGCCTGGAAGATATTGAAAGGTCAAAAAATGTAGCTACTCTCCACTCTCATTAGTGAACTCTCCAATTTAAGTGCCTTTTGGCTTTTCTTATGTAAGACTGCTGTGCATTGGCCTTCCAAGTTAAAGGGATGGAGAAAGTAGCTGTGGTTAATCTTTCAAAGGCAGTCTGAAGCAAACATTTTTCAAGATGTTTGCCAATGTGCCTCTTATCTGCCCATCTCATGCTGTTGTGTTGCTATTGCCTTCAGGGGATTTCTTAAGTGCTGCTTAGCTACAATTCACTCTGCTGAAAAACTTTCCAGGTAACAGGAACAATTATGACTGAGCGTGCTACGTTTAATACACAAAAAAATCCCAAGGGGACTACAGAAGATATCCAAACCACATTAAGATGTGCCAGGTACCCATTTTGCTAAAATGGCTACTTTGTCATGTGCCCTTGTGATTAATATGTTAGAGTGTTCCCAGCTTCCTCCAAAATTCAGTGCAGTAGCAGCCATGCACTGAATCAAACAGCATTTCAACCACTGATTTATCTACTTTGATTTGGGTGGGAAGAACTCCATTTTGATGGTTAAAAGTGCTGCAGTATTGTCACTTTATTAATGAAACCGAAAAAGGTGTTGCATGGATGGGGGCCAGAAATGTGGAGACAAGTGCACTAAGTCTGAAGGTTTATACCATCTTGAATATGTACGCACTAAACTAAAGTATAGCAACTTTTTGATAAGATAGCTTGCGTTGTAAGCTGCATTGTAGGTAAAAGTGAAAATGCAAGACAGATATTTTTAGGGAAAATGCAAGACAGATATTTTTAGGGAAAATGCAAGACAGATATTTTTAGGGAAAATGCAAGACAGATTTTTTTAGGGAGGGAGTTCCAGAATCGAGGGGCAGCCACTGAGAAGGCCCTCTTTCTTGTACCCACCAACTGAGCTTGAGATGGAGGTGGGGCCGAAAGACAGGCCTCTCCTGAAGATCTTAGGGCCTGGGTCTGAGAGGTGATCAGGCAAATAGCTTGGGCCTGAACCATCAGGTGCCTTTCGCCAAACCTGATTTTACATGTCTATATTCTTCTTAAAATGAGGTACCTAGAACTGAGTGCAGGACTCCAGATGAAGCTTGGCCACCATAGAATATAATGGGATTATTACTTTCCTTACACTGCTGGCTCATGTTCATGTTATATCCAACAATAGTCCCCAGGTTCTTTTTGCATGAAGTACTACTGAGCCTTGTATCCCCTATCCTATATTCTTGTGATCTAAAATGTGAAATTTTGCATTAGTCTCTACCTAATTTCATTTTATTAATATTTGTCCAATTTTTGGTTTATCTAGATCCTTTTGGATTCTGTTCCTATCTTCCGAAGTGACAATCACCTTCCCAGTTTTGTGTCATCTGCAAACCTCATAAGAAATTCCTCTACCACATTTACATCATTGATTAAAAATGAAGAATCACCATGCAAGATCTTCTTCCAGTTTGAAGCACATCCATTGATGAATTATAGAATCATAGAGTTTGAAGAGACCTTGTTGGCCATCCAGTCCAACCTCCTGCCAAGATGCAGAAAAATCTCATTCAAAGCACCCCTGACAGATGGCCATCCAGCCTCTGTTTAAAAGCCTCCAAAAAAGAAGTCTCCACAACACTCCAGGCAGAGAGTTCCACTGCTGAACAGCTCTCATAGTCAGGAAGTTCTTCCTAATGTTCGGGTGAAATCTCCTGTCCTGTAATTTCCTTTCCGCCTCCTAGTCCCCAGGGCAGCAGAAAACAAGCTTGCTCCCTCCTCCCTATGACTTCCCCTCACATATTATACATGGCCATCGTGACAACTCTTTGACCACAGTTTTCCAACTAGTTATGGATCTATCTGACCGTGTTCTCATACATTCCACTTTCAATCAGTTTGCTAATCAAAACACTATGTGGGACCTGATAAGTAACATCCATAACATTCCTATCACCGTATAAACAAATTACCTGATCAAAAAAGATAGAAGATTAGTTTGGCAGGATTTGTTCTTTATAAACCCATGTCTACTCCTACTAATCATTGCATTGTCACCTGCAGACTCCTGTATAATCCGCTCTAATATTTTTTTCCTAGTATTGAGCTGAGGCCGACTGGTTTATAGTTTCCTTTTTGTCTTTTTTTGTTTGAAGAAATGCACATTTTCTGTCCTTCTCCAGTCCTTTGACAGCTCATTTTTTCTCAAAATGATGGTAAAGGGATTGAGAAAGTACAGCAGCAAGTTTCTTTAGTACTTTGGGAGGCAGGCCATCTGGTCCTGCAGATCTGAACTTGTTGCCATAAAATAAAAGTTAAAAATTCAGCTGGTTTGATGCTGATTAACTCCATTTTGACAATAGCTGACACCTCACCTATGACATCAAACTCATTTAGGCTAGTTAGACCATTGTGTAGTTGCACAGTAGTATCAAGAAAATGATTTTTTTGTATGGATTCCTCCAGGCTCAGATTTATGGTAATTTTCAATTTCTTGAAATTCTGGTAGAACTTTCCAAATGATTGCTTTCCGTGTAGCAAAATTACAAAGACGCCATCAAAAAATTGTTCCAGGTCAGTCATGAAGATCTTTGCATACTCTGGAGGCTTGCAGGTGTCCATAACAGCACCAGACTTGGAGGTGTAGATTACTCCCAAAAGTAAAGTAATTATGAGTAAGTACACAAGTTTGGTGGATAGTGACTTCATCACACTAGAGCATCTATCCACCTTAAATCTGGTTGCTGCCTCCTGCAGAATTCTGGGGTTTGTAGTTTAGTGAGGCCTAGGACCTCTCGGGCTGTGCAATTTAAAGGCACCTCCCTAAACTACAAACCCCAGAATTCTGTAGGCAGCAGCAACCGGATTTAAAGTGGATAGATGCTCTAGTGTGATGAGGTGGCAGGTCTACTGTAACTTCATTCAGGACAGCATTCTTGATGGCTGGTAATCCATCCTGATGTGGGATGTTGGTGTACAGGTATTCCACATCTACAGTGGCTAGGGTGGTGATCCATAGTGGCTAGGATGTCTTAATACCACTTAGTACTACATTTGAAGATATAAGTTTATATCCCCCCAAAATAACATGAAAACAAAAACCAGCGAGTCTTAACAATTCTACTGCATTCTTTTTCTCCCTTCCCACTTTCTCCCTCCAGATTAATGAAAATTAACTGTACTGAAATATTCAGGTTGCAATCCTAAAGTCATTCATAAAGCACTAAGTTCTGTTGAGAACAATCTCTGATTTTATTAAGATTTACAATGCAGCCCTATATACTTAGTTGAGAATAAGCACAATTAAAGCTAATAAATAGTTCGGCATAGATCTTAACAGTTATACAGTTGTAAATGTGAATTATGTCCCAAAACATTTGAAAAAATTCTGATCTATGAATATAAATCACTGCATACTTTAAACCTCTCTGCAATAACTATACTTCTTGTAAGATGAAGTCTTGTCGCCCAGAGGAATAAAAAAATTCTGATCAGTGTCATGTAATATTTCCACATGAATTCCACTGCTGCTAAACTGCATGCTAGATATATCTTACAGAGCTGGATTAGAATGAAGAACTCTTTATTCTTGTATTCCCTTCAGAGAAGAATAACCATGTTGGCCCAACAAAGTTGTCATCATGGATTGTGAGTACGTGAACATGAGCCTGCGTTTATGAAGAGATTTTTGGCAGAAAACATAGGCAGTTTCTGCTTGTCTTTTTAAAATATGCATTTAAACCACTGGATAACATGTGTACCAGTGTGCTAAAGAAGAAACATTATACCTGCCAAGACAGGACTTGTACACAAAGCTGGCTATGTCAATAGACATCCACCATTTTCTATATTTATTACATTTCTAGTTCAAGGCCCAGTAGAAAACCTAAATACATGCTGCTAAAACTCATTTTGCCTTGAGATTGCCCAGTTTCTCCTTTAGAGCCAAGTTTTCCTTCACATCACATTGGCTGAACTTCTCGTATGCTTCTGCGAAGGTGTTTAGAGTGGCTTGTAGGTCTTCTTCTGAATGAGCACAGACGATGTTGTCATCAGCATACTATAATAGATGTTGTTGTAACCTTGGTTTTGGTTTTCAGTCTGCTGAGGTTAAATAGCTTGCCATCTGTCCAATAGATGATTTCCACTCCGGTGGGAAGCTTCCCGTCAACAATATGAAGTATCATAGCGATGAAGATGGAAAATAAGGTTGGGGCAATAATACATCCCTGTTTGACACCTGATTCCACCTTAAATGGGTCACTTTGGGAGCCACTGCTGTCCAAGACTGTTGCCATCATGTCACATGGAGGATCTGCAGGATGTTCAGGAATTTGCTAGGGCACCCGATTTTTTGGAGGATGGTCCAGACAGCGATTCACTGTGTTGGATGCCTTTGCAAGGTCAATGAATGCCATGTACAGAGGTTGATTTTATTCCCTGCATTTTTTTTGGAGCTGTCGGGCAGTGAAGATCATGTTCACTGTTCCTCTGAAGGGGTGGAAGCCATTCTGGGATTCTGGAAGGGTGTCTTCTGAAAGGGGTAGAAAGCAGTTTGCAAGGATTTTTGCGAGGATTTTCCCAGCGGAGGTTAGAAGGGAGTTACCTCGATAGTTTCCGCAGTCTATTCTTTCCCCTTTTTTGAAGAGGGTGATGATGGTGGCATCCTTGAAATCTGCTGGGTTTTTCTCGGTCACCCACACTTTTTCTATGAGCTGGTGGAGTTGTTGTGTCAGCTCAGATCTAACATAGAGTTGAAGCTGGGAAGGGGAGAAGCTGTGTTGTTCCTCATTATGGATACCACAGACATCTTTAACAAACACTCATTTTATTTTTATTTTTTTAAAGCTTTTATCCTGTCTTTTTCTACTAGGTAGATTAAAAGCAGCCCACAACAACTTTAAAATAACATTAACAATTTACCACATCACACAATATTAAAATAATATTATAGAAGAAACCTATGGAAACAACCAATCGAACAATCAGTACAGTTGGCCCCTCATATCCACGGATCTTGTATCCATGGATTCAACCATCCATTGTTTGAAAATATTTTTAAAAATCCTAAACAAACAAACAAACAAACTCTGATTTTGTCATTTTATATAAGGGATATCATTTTAGTACCATATTGTATGTAATAGGATAGCTAGATTTCAGTATCCACAGAGGCCTTGGAACAAAACTTAAGTGGATAGCAAGGACCCACTATATGCAGAAAACATAAAGGAATTGCAATGTCTCATACTATAGCCAGTAAGCCAAAGACTGCTTTGAAAAGTAAGATTTGAGTTAAACAGCTTAAAGAGTACATCAGGACTTGACAGATCTCACTTGAAAGTGTTCCCTGCGAACACTAGCAAGAAGCTCCCAGTAGCCACTGCCTCTGATGATTGAGGAATCTCATCACAGTTTGAAGGGAAGAACCAGAGTCTGGAGCTTTGAGATTAATACCCTTACTCAGTTCAGAAGCAACCAATATCAAAGAATTATAAAATATTCAAAGTAGCTTGCACCAAACAACAACTTAGCTACAGTATTTTGCACAAACTCAAATGTTTCCATTTGTTTTTCAAGGGCAGTCTCATGGGTAGCATTTGCAAGAATCAGAATAAACACCACAGTCTTGCAACCTGAGGTCGATAGATATACTGAAGCTTCTGGCACACTGGCAGCTAAAGAATATCCACCCACAAGTCATGTTGTGCATGTGGGTATGTTCTTTCATAAGCAATTTGTTCCCAATAATTCAGTCTTTAAAAATAAGACAGCTATCCAGCAGAGTTCAGACATTAAGGGTGTAGACTAGCATGACAACTTAGAATTAGAACCAAGTTCAGAATAGGGAACTAATGTGCACCCACAAGCCTGCAATGCAGTCAAAAACTGTGGACATTCCAGAATCCAAGTTTAACAATGAGGAAATACTACATGGCTTCCACCTGGATGTCCATCCTCCCCGCCCCCTGCCTCAAATAGGTACTGATGGTTAGAAACTCTATGTCCAATCCTTAACCAAACCAGGACAACTTCTTTCCACTAGGTCTTAAGTACCACATTTGACCACAACTAAAGCACTCGTTTTAATTCTCAAAGCTGGTCTGGGTTTTCCACTAGTCTGTTGGATTGAAAATACCTGTCTTTCTAGCAAGAAAGATTTTCGAACAACCGTTTTCACATTTTCCACATTCAAAATGATGTGCCTTCCAGAAAGTAAAAACACTTTTTAAATGTAAAATCACCAAAATATTTTATTTCATGTTTTGTTATTTTCTATGATGTATTACAAAGTCCATTTTATAGGCTGAATAGACAATTAAAGACAACAAATGCATTTCCTACCTGTAATGTACATGGGTAATTGTTGGTCGTCTGTAGCCCAGAATCCAGGTCTGGATGTCTATGGGTTCAGCTTTGGGATATGCAATCGTTGTATCTATTACCCACTGAAGACCTTTTGGTTTGCTTTCTAAAAAAAAAGGCAATGTGTAAAGAAAGAAGAAAATACTAAACATTTCAATCACAAATATTCTACTTCTGTTTTAACATTTTATCTCATTAATTCTTACTAACAGTTCACATACTATGAGCATACGTATAGCATGAGATGCAGAAGTACTAAATATTACTATATGATAGGAAAGTATGCAAGCAGATTTTCAGTGTTCGTATTTTTCTAACTACAGAATTCCCTTGTTTTAAGTTGCTACAGATATATATCTCTATCTTTGATCTGAATTACATATACAGGTTAAGTCTCCTTTATCCAAAAACCCAAATGCCTTCTGCTGCCTGTTTCTGTCTTTAAGGCGGCAACTCTGGCGCTACTGCTCATCTTTCAGATCCTCAGTCTCTCTGCAGCCTCACATCTCATACACAACACAAGTAGTGACTATACAAGTCATGAGGCTGGAGAGATACTGAAAATTGAAAGATGGTGCAAAACAGCAGCCTCAAAGGCAGAAATGAGCAGCTGACAGCTTTATTGGCAATATCAATAAAGTAGGATTTTAAAAATCAAACAGGCATTAAGAGACATATATTGGGAATTCTGTCAATAAATGGAATATTAATTAAGTCATAGTTTAAGTGAGTATTTAAAAGTCCAAGTAATTGCAATGTTCTGTAAGGGGAGGGGGGTAGTGTCTCTTTTAGACTGACATAAAGCCCAATGTTTGCAAACTTTCACCTTACCAGATCTGGTTCCAATAACAAGATCAACCCAAGAATAAACAAAAGCGTATTCAAGAAAATACTAAAAGTCCTGTGACACACCATTAATATATTTATTTTAGTGGAAGATTTCAGTGCAAAGACTTGCCTGTCCCAATTCACTGAGTTTCAATCTTTCCCAATAAACAAATAAATAAATAAAACCCTTCTTTCTTCATACTTTCTAAATAAAAGACTTGCCTGCTCCCAATTCATTGAATGTCAATCTTTCAACAACAAAAAAAACCTTTTTCATGCTTTCTATATAAAAAGGGACTTCTACTAAGGATTTAGCACACAGAAAAGCAGCTATATTTAATAATGCTTGAATTAAAAATGCATTTATTAAAACATATTAAATTAAAATGCATTCGCTCAATGACATTGATATATTTTAATTTGCAACAATTCAGTTATCTATACAGAAAAAAATGAAATTAAAGGATAAGAAGAACTCTTCTTCCAGTCCATACAAGCAAGGTAATATTTTCATCAGAAAACTACCACATCAACATCATTGCTGATAAGAAATGGGATGAAATCCTAAGTTCAGAAATAACTTTGTTACTTAGGTTATCTTAGTGCAATGAAAGTACCCAACAACTCAGAAAAAGAGCTCAACTTAAGCAAGTTTGATAGCCACTCAGACTAAACAAATACAAATGAACTAAAGGTTTATTTATTTTAAAGATTTATACACCTCTCTACTATTTTCTCTGCAGGTGCCATTTGTCTTGACATTATTGTCTGCAATAAATGGGAAAGAGGGTGAAATTTCCAATACAAAACCCTGGCCAAATGCTATTTAGGATGATGTTTTAAAACTTTAAAAGTTCTAAATCCTTAATAGTGACAAAGTCCAGTTTTAACACATATTTATTTATTTATTTATTTCGGACATTTCTATCCCGCCCTTCTCACCCTCAAAGAGGGACTCAGGACGGCTTATAGCAGGCAGACATTAGATGCCAAAAAACAATACATTAAAACGCACAGTTACAATCAACACAATTAAAACAATTATAAGCGTTCAATTAAAAGCAGTTCGCTGGTTCAAAACAGTCTACTTATCTTATACATATTTTGGTTCAATGTGCTACACACAACGAACTAAGATCCATTTAGTACCCTTGCTTTCTAAGGTGAGGTTTTGCTCTTTTTTTCCTTAATGTGACTTTCATTTTCAGTTTGTGGCATTTTTGTATGTATTGTATTATCCATCATAAACATACTCCATCTTGATTTGCACTCATTTGCCATTTTTTTTCAAAAAAAAGTCTATGAATATTCATATTTAGATACTAATTTAGCTGTATTTTCTCATACATTCATTTTCTAAATTGATTTTTATCCAAACCCAAAACATATTTGGAATGTTTTTTATATCAAAAACTGGAGCAAAAAAAAATATTGAGACAAGTGCAAAATCCAGTGAGTAGACATTTTAATATGTACATGAGTTCAAGAGATACAAATCAAGGAAGTTAACATCAGAATTCACAAAGACTGAACTCCCAAGCATTCTTGCCTTCAGCACTGTGAATTCTGGCCACTCCTCTCTGCCACAGAAGCTAGGTTACAGCCATTGTCTACTTTGTTCTTTCTGCAGTCATATCTACAAGAACACTCTGTGCTATAACATGAGCTCAAGTGATCACAATAAGATGCTTCACAACTGAAAGTGTAAATCAAGGGTAGCCAGTTCTGCAGTGGGCCTGCAGGACAATCCTATCCCTGGGACTTGCCACAGGCTATTAGTACCACAGAAGTGATCACAGAGCCTTGTTTTATAGGAAAACTGTATCCCCTAGAGCTCAGCTACCTTTTACTTTCTGTTCAAAAATTGTTGGAAGTGTTGCACAGATGCTTCTGGGAGCTATAAAACAGGTGGAGGTTGTTATTATTATTAATGCCTGCCTTCAAGTCAACTTTCATTTATGTGAGACCTCCAAGTTCCCCTGTCCTCAACAGCCTTACTCAGGTCCTGCAGACTCAGGACCGTGGCTTATTTAATTGAGTCTATTCTGCTGGAAGGTGACCTTCCTCTTTTCCTACCTTACAAAGTGTTATCACGTGCTAGTGAGTCATGTCTTACACACACCGCACAGCAAGCTGTATCTTGTTCACTCCAATGTAGACACACCACACACTAAAATAAATGGGTGATAATCACATTCACAAGACCCATTAATAATATAAAGTTTCTGAAAATTATTTTAATGCCTTAGCCAGGTTTACCTAATTTTGCATTTCAGTACAGATATATTACTCATGTTTTGGTCTAGTTGCAACAAATGGAACAACCCTGGATTACAATTTGGATGGTGTGATTTTAATTGATGATTGATAATTTATGTTTTAATTGTTTGGTTTTTAATTGTAATTGTTTATTTTAATATATGTTTCTATGGCATCAAATTGCTGCCTGTTGTAAGGCCATCTTGAGTCCCTTCCAGGGTGAAAAGGGCAAGGTATAAAAATGGTAAATATTAGCAGTAGATGGCCTGTATGTGCTACTAGACAGGAAATATAGTGCTTTCTGCCTTAGAACACTGTTTACATTTTACTGAAGACGGCACATGCATAAATGATGAGAACATTCTGGTTCATTCCCACTTTTTGAAGATCAGAATCAGTCTACCAAAGTTGCCTGATTATTTCTAAATCCAAAACTCAAATGGTTAGTACTGAAGTCCACCAAGCCATTGGAAAGCTCTCACATGAGAAACTTCTCATCTGATCTGTGATGGTTTTATCTGGTTGTCTCCCACATGCATCAGCTAGGTGACCCCAACAGCAGATATTAAGAAATGGATCCTTATCTATACAAGGCCAACTTCCTCAGGGAGCTGTAAATAACTGCACAAAGTAGTTTCAAGTACCAATTCTGCAGTTTTAAAACTGTTCGCTCTGATGCTCTCCTGTTGTCTGTACTTTGTATTAATTTATTACTTTAAATACTATAACTCTCACCAGAGACATTTGAAAAGCAAGATTTGAAGTGAAAGGGGTTTTTTAAATGTTCTTTGACTTCACATAAGTGGCTTCCCTGCTATAACCATGGGTGGGTCTTTGCAGATCAGATTATATAAATAGAACAATGCTTATCAGCATTAGTGCCATTCCCTCAGAGAACATAATCTGTATCTTGAAAGAAATGTAGTAGGCTGAAAGAATTACCATCATCTACCTGGCTTGGCTCCCAACAGCAGCAATTACCACAGCTCCAGGAGATGCCAGAACTACCATAAAACATTTTAAGCACATTAGAAAGCACATTAAGGAGTTTTCATAAGAGGAGATTTTGTGAGAGTGGTTGAAAGAGCAATAGGAAGTGAGCTTGATAGGTGGATGTCAGAAATAATTCCAGGCAGAGGAGACAAAATAGGAGAAAGAAGGGCAACAGAAGTCAGGATATAAATACATTAAAGTAAGAAAGGCAGAAATGAAACAGTAAAAGCCTGAACCTAAGAGAAATACTGTGACTGGCTACGTAACATAAAAAGAAAACAGGCCATTTTAAAGTAGTCCGATCCATTTTGTAACGTTTTCTCTTGTTGAACTGGAAGTCTCCACATGACAGAAATGGGACCTATGTTTTGTATCTGAACTCCTATGCAAATATAAACATCATATGATGCCTCTAGGTTTAATGATGATAAAATGTGCTCTGATTGTCTAAATCAGTGTTTCTCAAACTGTGCTCCTCCAGGTGTTTTGGACTTCAGGTCCAAAACACCTGGAGAAGCAGACTTTGAGAAACATTGGTCTTAAAAAACACTCAGCTAGATGATGGCACAGGCAGGCTTCAAGAATACTAAGTGAACCCTGAACTTATGAAGTATTACTGAGCATCTTAATTCAGCTTGGCATAGCAGTGGGACTGCAGCCAGAAGATATGATGTGGAAAATGAAGAGGAAGGGTTCCAAAGCCTCTCCTTGCATGCTTGGCTTATCTAATGTAACCAAAGACACTTCAGTAGCCAAGCTATTTTTATTCTTTTTCCTATGAAAAGACATTGGGGTTTTCTCTTTAGCGAGTGTTCAACTGCCAAAAAAATCACTGATTCAACAGCAAGCCAGATCAATTTTTCAAAGGACTATTTCCAGAGAACTGTTTGTTTTGCATCTGTTCATCTCAACTATCCCATCTCTTCCCCCCCCCCCCCCCCGACACTACTAGCCTTCTCTACTCAGTGTGTGGGTGTGTGTACATTCAAGTTACCTATTAACTTATGGAGACCCCATAAATTTTAT